CAGACAGGACCGTCCATTCAACAGATCCAGATTGAGACCCAGGCAGCAATATCAGGGCAAGCGGCTCTTTCATGGGGGAGGTCATCCTTTCAGGAGGTCCAAGTGACTCCTGGGCTGCCCCTCCCATAGGTGGCAGGCTATCCCTCTTTTTCCACCAGTGGAAGCTCACCACCCCAGACTCCTGGGTCTTCCAGACCATCCGATTCGGACTGTCCCTGGAATTCATGTCCAGTCCACCAGGGCGTTTCATCTCTTGCCCCCAGTCATGGAATCCAACCAAACACGGCCTCATGCAAGAGGCCATTCATCATCTTCTAGAAATAAGAGCCGTAGAACCGGTGCCGGTTAGTCAAAAGGTCAGGGATTCTATTCAATTCTCTTTGTGGTTCCCAAGGCCTCGGAGTGATGGAGGGCGATTCTAGACCTCAAAGTCTGAATTCCCACATTGCATACTGGAAATTCAAATGCAAACTCTTCAATCCATCCTGGGCAGCATCAGAAAAGGAGACTTCCTGATGTCCATAGACCTCACAGAAGCGTATCTCCACATCCCTATCCTTCCCGACCACCGGCGGTTCCGCATGTTCTGTTACATGGGCCACCACTACCAGTACAGGGCCTTGCCATTCAGACTCTCCTCGGTTCCCAGAGTATTCACCAAAATCCTGGTGGTGCTTGCAGCACACCTAAGACTGGTGCTGGTACGCATTCAGTGCTACCTGGATGACATTCTCATCCAGTCGTCCTCCTTTCTGGTGGCCCAGTCGGACCTGAGCTTGCCAATCCAGATCCTTCAACAGCATGGATTCTTGGTGAACTTCAAAAAGAGCCACACAGTTCCCTCGGCCCAAATCCTACACCTGGGCACCATCATAGACACAGTTGGTTACCTGGTCTATCTTTCACAAGAGCGTTGGGACAGCATCCGGGAACTAGCACTCAGGGTATGCAGGGAACGGGTAGTGTGGCTGGCCCTACTTTCCCAACTCCTGGGAAAGATGATCTCTTGTATTGCCATAGTTCCTTGGGACAGGCTCCACTCCAGAAGTCTCCAATGGTTTCTGCTCCCCTTCCAGAGGTTGGGAACCGCTTCATCCAACCAATAGGTGAAGGTTCCCATCCAAACCCTGAGATCCCTCCGCTGGTGGTTCTCGCCAGTGGTAGCCAGAGGGTCACCCTTCAAGGAACCCGTCCATCTCACACTTACGATGGACGCCAGTCTGTTCGGTTGGGGAGCTCATCTCAGGTCTCAGTTCGCACAAGGCAGTTGATCCCATGCAGATTTGAGACACAACATCAACTGGTTGGAGTTCCAAGCCATACACCTGGCTCTCCATCACTTTTGCGACATAGTGGCGAAACAGCATGTGCTAGTCCTCATGGACAACGTGGCAGCAAAGACCCACGTGAACTGACAAGGGGGTACCAGGTCCAGGTCCCTCATATCTGAGGCCCAGTTACTGGGTTCCTGGGCAGAGTCCAACCTTTCCTCTCAGGGCCGAACACAATTCTGGGGAGGTGAACCAACAAGCGGATTTTCTGAGCAGGTCGACCGTGGATCACTTGGAATGACATTTGCACCTGGATCTCTTTGCAGAGATGTCACAAAGGTTCGGTCGACCGGTCCTCGATCTGTTCGCTTCACTGGTGAATGCCCAGATTCTGAGGTTCTTCTCCCGCTTTCCATCCCCGGGGGCAGAGGGGACAGATGCCCTTCAAGCCCCATGGCCAGAGGGTCTGCTCTACGCATTTCCTCCTCTCCCACTGATTCTGGCGACCATTCACAAACTACTACAGGAGCGAGTGGAGGTAATCTTCATGACCCCCTACTGGCCTTGGAGACCCTGGTTTGCTGACCTGGTGAATCTCTCCCGCTCTCCTCTGTGGAAAATCCTGCCGGATTGCATATCTCTCCACCAGGGAGTTCTATGACAACCGGAACCCCAGTGGTTACAGTTAGCCTCCTGGCACTTGAATCCGGATCATGACCCAAGAGTCATTCTCAGCTAGAGTGATTTCCATGATTCAGGCATCTCGCCGGCCAGTGACCAATCGCATCTATGATTCTACATGGAGGAATTTTTGCCATTGGTGCGAAAGGCGACAACTGAATATCTCGGACTTGACAATTCCACAGATCTTAGAATACCTTCTAGGCAGCCTTGATAAGGGCTTAGCCCTAATACCATCCATAGGCAGGCTGTAGCCCTATCAACCTTACTTATCTGTGCCAATTCCCTTTGGCCCAGCATCCCAGGATACGCGCCTTTCTCAAGGGCGCCACCAACACCAAGCCACCCGTGGTACACAGGTATCCCTCTTGGGAGTTACCCCGGGTCCTATGGGCCCTCACCAGACCGCCTTTTGAGCCTGTCACAAATAGTGCTCTAAGATCCTTGTCCCACAAGGTCGCTTGCCTGATCGCTATCACATCAGCCAGGCACATTTCTGAGCTGGCTGCTCTATCGACCAGGGGTGACCTTTGTATCTTCCACTGGGACTGGGTGGTCCTTCAGTTGGATCCCACATTCGTGTCCAAGGTCAACTCGCTCTTTCATAGGGCCCAGGAAATTATTTTGTCAGATTTTTGTCCCAATCCTTCCCATGACTTGGAGCAGCAGTGTCACACACTGGACATCCATCAAGACTGGGTTCTCCTAGCAACAGGGGGCGTGACAAGTTTGGCTGACTTGGTCTCAAGAGCAGGCAGACAGAGAAAACCACTGATGGGTTCTCCATGTCCGTACTGAGAAAAGGCGTTCAGGTAAAACAACGCCCCTTCTACATCTATGCATACAGGAAGAATTATCACCATATTCCCTTATTCTCTGCACCTTAATTTTTGGCAGTTGTAGGTTTTGCTTCTTTTTATCATACTCTACAATTAATAATCATGACAGTTTGTTCTCTGAGGCTGTTTCTCATAAGCCTTTGCTGGCAGTTTCTTGCCTTTATTCGAATAACTAAATTTTTCCTAGGATACCACCAGCAAGAAACCAACGTTAGGTAAGTGGGAATGTTTGTCTATGCATGTGTGGTGTATAACAAGAGTTGTGCAAGTCAATGTTTGTATCACATTCTCCATCATTGGAGGTTTCAAGAAGAGATTGGGCAGCAATTTTTCTGGAATTATGTGGGGCAGAGGTCCCCAACCTTTGTGGCTTTGTGAACTGGTGGGGTGGACAGAGAAGGGATGGTTCCCTGTGAGCAGTGGGCAAGCATACACATGCCTGCAGCTCCATTTACATGAGTGGTGGGCACCTGTGCCCGCTTGCACAACTGAAGTGTGCACACATTCCATGCCCTGGTTCCAAATGGCTCAAGCCTGGTACTGGCCATGAACTGGGTGCTGGGGAGCCCTGATGCAGTACCTCCTGCTTGAGCAGGGGTTGGACTAGAAGACCTCCAAGATCCCTTCTAACTCTGTTATTCTGTGAAATGAAACTTGGGAAAATCAAACTAAGCATGCTTCTGTTGGCTTCTCTCCTCCTCTTCACAAACCTCACTACTTCCTAGCACTGATGCCGTCGGAAAGCTGGATTATGATACATGATCTCAGTGCATGAACTCGGAGATCAAAGAGATGCTCTAAAATTAGAAAATGAAACTCTCAGAATAACATGAGAGCAATCTGACACATAATCTGGAACTTCACAGGAATCAACTAACCAGAATAGAGCTGAAAGATACCTTGGAGGTCTTTTAGTCCAGTCCCCATTTCAGAGAGTGATTGTCTAGTCCAGTGATGGCAAACCTTTTAGAGACCAAGTGCCCAAACTGCAACCCAAAACCCACTTATGTATCGTCAGGTACTGGGTGGCCAATTGGGTGGGCATGGCCTATTGGCCGGGCATGGCTGCGGTGGTAGCAGCAGACTGGGTGGGACTAAAAAGTTCAATCAATTCCAACTTTGCGAGATCTTTTTTTTTTCCCGTGAGAAGTTGAAATTGATTGATTGATTGAAACTTTTCTCTTTTTTTGCACATGGCGACGGAGGCCTAAAGCAAAAAGGTTTTATAAAACCCAGCTGAAGGCCTTGGACTGGGATGACGGCGCGTGTGCCCACAGAGAGGGCTCTGAGTGCCACCTCTGGCACCCATGCCATAGGTTCACCACCACGGGTCTAGTCTCTTCTTAAAAACCTCCAGTGTTAGAGCATCCACAACTTCTGGAGGCAAGCTATTCCACTGGTTAATTGTCCTCATCATTAGAAAGTTGCTCCTTAATTCCAGGTTGCTTGATTAGTTGCTTGCTTAGTTTCCATCCATTGCTTCATGCTCTGCCTTCTGGTGCTTTGAAGGATAGCTTGAGCCCCTCTTCTTTGTGGCAGCCCCTCAAATATTGGAAGACTGCCATCATGTCACCCCTTAGTCCTTTTTTTCTCTATTCTGGCCATATCCAATTCCTGGAACTGTTCTTCATATGTCTCCAACCCCCTAATCATCTTAGTTGCTCTTCTCTGCACTTTTTCCAAAGTCTCAACATCTTTTTTTGCAATGATATTCAAAATCACCTTTATAAGTATTGCAAGTATCTTTGTTTCTTTTAATCTAGTTTATTTTAGAAGAGTTACAAAGGATATGCCATAGATGGCATCCTAATCATTACAATATTAACCAGTACAAATTCACGAAATTTGCAGTATTGCAACCCCCTACAATGATACATGATTGCATATAAACCCGATGAATAAAATACATTATTTCATTGGGCACAAAATAAATACCCTACAGGTAGTCCTCGATTTACAACCATTTGTTTAGTCACCAATCGAAATTACAACAGCATTGAAAATTGATTTCTGACCAACTTTCTCACACCCTTCGCAGCATTCCCATAGCCATGTGATTAAATTTCAGACACTTGGCAACTGGCATGTATTTGTGACAGTTGCACAGTCCCAGGGTCATGTGATCCTGATTTCTAACCTTCCCAGTCAGTCAATGGGGGAAGCCAGATTTGCTTAACGGCTACATGATTCACTTAACAACTGCAGTGATTTGCTTAGCAATAGTGTCAAGAAAGGTTGTAATTGAAGAACAACTCAGTTAACAACTGGTTTGCTTAGCAACAGAAATTTGGGGTTCAATTGTCATAAGTTGAGACCACCTGTGCTCCTTGTCGTTATGTGTAAGACAATTAAATGATAATAATTACATTTTCACTGTGTTTCTTTATCAGTGGACTTGGCTGGACAAAACAAGATGCAAAATGTCAAAAAAATATATCTCAGTTCTTCTATTTGAGTGGAAATGATACAATGAAATCTAATCTTTTTATCAACTGAGATCACATTTCCAGAGCAGCGTGAGTTAAAAAAAAGAAAAGAACAATACAAATGTATATTCTGAGTGATACAAAGGAAATCTCACAAAATATAAAAACAGTTCTGCAGAAACAAACAAACAAAAAAAAAAAAACGTTTACTGATCATCAAACATGAACATTCATCCAGCTGTGGTTTTGCTTTACACAATATACAAAAGTATTATTTTGAGTCACTAAAATATGTAGTGAAGAACAGGAGAATATGGCACTTAAAATCATTTTGAAACCAAAATTAGGTTTGTTTGGGCCTGGAGCATATATGACTCTCTTAAAGGGAGGGTCAGAGAATACAGCTGGTCCTCAACTTACAACAGTTCATTTAGTGACTGTTCAAAGTTACAACAGCACTGAAAAATGTGGTTTATGACCATTTTTTCCAATTACAACTTTGCAGTATCCCTTTGATCATGTGTTCAAAATTCATATTTCATATTTATGACCGTTGCTGGGTCCCAAGGTTGTGTCACCCACCAACTTTTGCAATCTACTGACAGTCAACAGAGAAGCCAGATTCATTTAACAACTGGGTTACTAACTTATCAGCTGCAGTGATTCACTTAACAACTATGGAAAGAAAGATCATAAAATTGAGCAAAACGCACTTAACAACAGACATTTTGGGCTCGGTTGTGGTCATAACTTGAGGACAACCTGTATTTGCAACGATTTACTTTTATTTTCTAAATCCCCTTCTTTCATTTAATTTTTGAAAAAAGGCTATTGATAATAATGATACCTTGGTAGCTGCTGTTCTAAAAAACAAATTATTATCTGTGGCGCTCTTTGAGCTTGGTGGAATTCTAGCACTGATGATGTTATCTAGTTGGGTCATGAAATGTCTGCAAGAAAACCATCAAGCTCAGAGAGCACCAAGGATCCCACAGTTGTAATCGTTGTCGTCGTCGTCCTCTTCCTCCTCCAGAAAATTGATCTGTGCTAGAAGCTTATAGCTTATGCGTGACATCCTGTGGATTTCCTGCATCACATGATATTTAAGTGTCCAGTGTGTGGTTTGGCCGTGACTTCAAGGAAGTGTTCTGTTGACTCAGGTTGATGGTGAAATTGTTGAGGTTTTGGTGGTATCTGATGAGACTTACTTTTCTATGATCAAATGAACTACCAAGTCCACTCTCAGCAGTACTGCTATTAGACATCACTGGTATATAAAATGAGAATACACCACATGCCCTTCTAGCACTGATGATGTCCCCTAGTCAGGTCATGAAATGTCTGCAAGAAATAACCAAGCTCAGAGACCACCAAGGACCCCACAGTCACCCTCCACCTCACCACCACCACCACCACTGCAAACCCTCTCCCTTCTAACCTCAATGATGTTCCCTAGTTGGGTCATGAAACATCTGCAAGAAAATTACCAAGCTCAGACAACATCAAGGATTCCCTCAATTCTCTTCTTCCTCTTCCTCCTCCTCCTCCTCTCCACAACCACCCCTCCCTTTTAGCATTGATGATGTTCCCTAGTTGGGTCATGAAATGTCTGCAAGACATAACCAAGTTCAGAGATCACCAAGGACCCCACAGTTCTGCTCTGAACTACAAATCCACAAAAAGTTTCTTGCAAAAATTCCAGTGAGAAAATCCTACCTTAAACCAGGTCATTTTGTTTTCCAATGACCGTAGCTGGATGTTCTGGCAGCTGCATTCCTAAGTTTTGAGGTTCCTCCCTCGGTGAAGGCTGCATCGCCTTATGCAATTTTTCTCTGAAGGACTTTCTAAACACTCCACAACCTTGTTTACATTCTGCCAGTTTGCAATGCTGTCTAATACAGAACAAACCTGGTTTATTAATAAGGGACTTCAAATGGACTCCCTTTCTGGCTCCACTCTTAGTAAAATGGCTAAGCAATAAAACAGGCAGGGACGTCCAAAGTTTTCATAAGAGTTAAGCTGTTCCTTGATATTTATGAAGTGATCAGACCAGATCAAATCAGCAAGCTAAAGCGTCTAAAGGATAAATCTTCCATTTACTGCAAACATTTTATGACAAGTAGATTGCCCAATTAAGAACCCGATGCATTCAGATTATAGAGTATTTTCCCCCTTTTCTCTTTTATTCAAGGCTTCAAAGGAGAGTTGTGTCTACGGAAAGAAAATTACAAAAACCAACAATTTAGATAAGCAAGTGGATGGGGAAAAAAAGCAGGGGACAAAACTTTGTTACTTGCAAGCTAAGATTTGCTTTAAGTCTTCACTTTTGAACTTAGTTATACATATAACCCTCCTTTGACATCATTTTGGCTCTTGTTTGCACCTGACATATAAACGGCAGTGCTTCGTTGTTCAGAAACAGTTGTAAATAGGAACACACAATACTTTTAGCTTGGAGATATCTGCAAGAATAGGTAAAAAAAAAAATTCAAGTTAGTGGCCTCAATTATGCAGTTGAAGCCCTGAACCTTGTTTTTGTATGGTTGGGACAGACATTTTTTGACCTCCTTCCCATGAACATTTAGGGGCATTTGCAGCATTCTAACCAGATTTACTATGGTTTTACGAAAAACCATCACTTATTTCTGGTTTTTGGCAAAACCGTGCCCAGAGCAAACCATTGATGGTACTTAATGACCATAGCCAAAAAGGTCATAAAATCAGATCATTTACATGATTGACACATTTTGTGACTGTTTTGACAAATGACTTCAACAGGCAAGCTCCGTTACAGTCATGTGTCAAGACTACCTGTGTAGCATATGAAGACGAGTCTAGAGGCAACCTTAATTTTTTCTCCCCTTCTCCTATAAAGTCTCAGGTTTATACCCTGAGTTTGTTACTTTAGAGACGCCGTCGATATTTGAAATCGATGTCACGCATTGGATGCGCCGTCCCAATCAAGATGCGGTTTTCAATTGAGGAAGGCAGTTCTTCTTCTGGGTTGACCAGCTCCATGTCGAAGTAGGTGAGCATCAGCATGGTGAATAGTTTCATTTCGCTGACCGCAAAGAAGCGTCCAGGACACATTGAAGGTCCACCTCCAAAGGGCAAGACACAAGTTTTCAACTTTTTACCATTTTTGAAGAATTCTTTTCTCTTGCCCTCGGGGCTCAAGAAGCGGTCATACTTGAAGATTTGAGGCTCAGGGTAGATTTCCGGATCCATGTGTAGTCCCAGGAAAGGGAAGAGAAGAAGATGGTCGCCTTTCCGAAGGCTATATTCTTTTCCGTTGTCCATCTGGAGGTTGAGGTCCTCCATCACGCTCCTAAATACGAAAGAACCAGCTTTCAAGCGGAGAACTTCTTCCACTGCACTGTCAAGAAGAGGAGTCTTGATGGCTTGCAATGACAGGTTCATGAGGTTTTCTTCTTGACCGATCTCTTTTAGCACTTGTTCTACTTCTTCCCTTACTGCCTTCATGGCTTTGGGATGTTTCAAAAGATATGCAAGCAGCCAGAAAGTCACCGGACCCGTGTTGGCTTGAGAAGCCCATAGGAAAAGAAACTGGACCTGAGTTCTCATCTTCTCAGTCATCCCAGCTTCAGCCAGCTGTTGATCTTGGTCTGTTAACCAAATGCTGATGTCTTCCCTCTTGTCTATCTTCTTGACAGACAGGAGATCCCAAAAGTAGTCCCTCAGCCTCTGGATCTCCTTCTTAGTTTTGGAATCCATTTTGTTGAGGATCATTTGTGGAAAGAATTCATCAAATTGCTGGAAGTCCTCAAAGAACTTCTCATATGATTTACACCTTCTTTCCTTGGTGTTTTCTTTGCAGTTGACCTCTAACTCTGGCACAACGCCAAACAATGACAGGAAAGCAGCATGGAAGATGGCTTTGTAGCTGAAGCGCCATAGACCTTCCTGATGCCATTTCTTCTCTTCAGCCGAATCAAGCAAGATTTCCTTCAGATTCTGCATAAAAATTTGATTGAGGGCAACTAGACTCTTCCCTTGGAGATACCTCTTGCTGCCAGTTTCTGCAATCTTATGATGAGTGGTGGTCAGTTGGAAATTAAACACATTCAAGACAACGTTGGTTGCGAAGACTCCAAAATCCAGCTTGTTTTTTGATTTCTTGAAGATAAATCCATACATGTGAGGATCCATCAAAACATGGATATACTGACCTCCAACCAATACTGTGAAGATATCTCCATGTTTCTTCTTCATCTTTTCCAAAAATGGGATAGGGTGTTTGCCAAAACTTAGCCCATGACCTAACCATGGAATAAAACCCTTGTCCAAAGGTGGTTCCTTTGATCTCTTCTGGCGAAACACTCCAATTGTGTAGAGTCCACCAAAGATGAGGGAAATGAGGGTGGACAGGAGAGCACAAAGAACCGTCTCCCACATCTTCATCACTAGCATGTGAGAACAGCTCTGGGTAAATGAACTGATCTGGTGCATAGGGCAACCAGCATTTATAAACCATCCAGTCATAGGGCAGCTCAGCATGGGACTGCCTAATTCCACCTGTGAGGTAATCCAAGCTGTTGTGGTTTTCCTGTCACTGAAATTGTGAGCAACATTCCAGACTCACTGGGTTGCTTCTAAATTTTTTCAAGGTGTTTTGATGCCCTTGAAATCTCAGTGACAAATGGAGAAGGAGAAAAAGTAGTTCTCATCCTAGAATTCTAGGGGGTCTTCACTGGGCAAGTTCTCCCCAGATCATCTCAGATCATCATAATTCAACTGTCAGAATTTGGATCTAGATTTCCAGCTTTAGGGCAATGTTTCTCAACCGCAACAGCTTTAAGATCGTATCATTTTAAAAATTAGTAAGATTGAGAAACACAGTTCTTATAACCACACTGTGCTGTAGGATTTCACATTATTTTCACTGGACCAAGGTCAGGAAATTTGGTTCCAGCTCGGCTAAGAACAGCAAGATCCAACTGGTTCCCACTAAGCGATACTTAAAAGTTTGGGATGTTTTGTACGTTCAGTAGTTCTGCGTAATTATGGCCTGAAGCATACAAGTTCTTAAATCACCTAGCTTATTACTCAAGATAGTCAAAGCTAAGGTTTTCCCACAAGTAATGTAAGGCTGTGGGAGCTGGACCCTAAAGACAGCTGAGCACCAAATAACAGAGTTGGAAGGGACCTTCTAATCCAAACCCCTGCTCAAGGAGGAGACTTTATACATTTCTTACAGATGGTTGTCCAATTTTTTCTTTAAAAACCTCCAGCAATAGAGCATCCACAACTTCTAGAGGCAAGCCATTCTACTGATTACAGATAGTCCTGAACTTAAAACAGCACTGAAAAAAGTGACTTGTGACTATTTTTCACATTTACAACCATTGCAGCACCCCCATGGTCAGGTGATCAGATTTCAGATGCTTGACAACTGACTCATATTTATGATGGTTGCAGTGTCCCAGGGTCATGTGATCCTCTTTTGCGACCTTCTGACAAGCACAGTTAATTGAGAAACCAGATTCACTCGTATAATGGGAAAAATTCACAACAACTGTCTTACTTAGCCACAGAAATGTTCAGCTCAATTGTGTCATAAGTCGAAGGCTATCTGTAATTGTTCTCACTGTCAGGAAATTTCTCCTTAGTTCTACATTACTTCTCTCCTTGATTACTTTTCATCCATTATTTCTTGAGCTGTCTTCAGCTGCTTTGGAAAATAGGTGGACCCGCCCTCTTCTTTGGGGCAGCCCCTGAGATGTCAAAAAATTGATCCTTTCAACTTGTGGTGTTGGAGAAGACTCTTGTGAATCCTTTGGGCTGCAAGGAGATCCAATCTGTCAATGCTAAAGCAAGTCAACCTTGAGTTTCCTTTGGAAGGACAAATAATGAAGTCGAAGCCCAAATACTTTGGCCACCAAATGAGAAGAGAGAGAACTCCTTATCCTTGGAGAAGAACCTGATGTTGGGAAAGATGGAAGGCAGAAGGAGAAGGGGATGGCAGGGGATGAGACAGTTAGATAGGATCATCAACGCAAAGAGCATGATTCCAGGGGACAGTGGAGGATGGGGGGGGGGGTTTGACATGCAACTTAGCAGCAGAACAATAACAAACCAAAGGAGTAAAAAAAAATATTTTTTTTTACATTTGTTCATTTATTTATCAAGGAAAATCTGAAAGTACAGGTAGTCCTCGACTTACGGCCACAATTGAGCCCAAAATTTCTGTTGTTAAGCAAGACAGTTGTCAAGTGAGTTTTGCCTCATTTTATGACCTTTCTTGCCAGCAAGAAAGAGAAAAAGAGAGAGAAAGAGGGAGAGAAAAGAGGGAGAGGGAGAAAGAGAGGGGGGGAGGGAAAGAGAGAAAAAGAGAGAGAAGAGGGGAGAAAGCGAGAGAGAGAAAGAGAAAGAGAGAGGGGAAGGGAGAGAAAGGGGAAGAGAGAGAGAAAGAGAGAGGGGGGAAGGGAGAGAGAAAGAAAGAGATGGAAAGAGGGAGAGAAAAGAGAGAGAAAGGGGGGAGAAAGAGAGGGAAGGAGGGAGAGAAAGAGGGAAAGAGAAAGGGAGAGAAAGAGAGAGAGAAAGAGAGAGAGAAGAGAAAGAGGGAAAGAGAGAGAGAGAGAGAAAGAGGAAGAGAGAGTTAGCATAGCAAATAAAAATCTAAAAAGTTGGATCGCTATACTACCTTATAGGTAGTCCTTGACACATTGGGTTCAATTGTAGTTGAACAACAATTGAACCCAATATTTTCATTGCTGAGCAAGACAGTTGTGAGTTTTCCCCTATCATATGACCTTTCTTGGCCCAGTTGTTAAGTGAATCACTACAGTTGTTAGTTGAGAATCTGGTTTCCCCATTGACTTTGCTTCTCAGAAGATCACAAGGAGTGATTAGATGCTGCGGCCATCATAAATATGAGCCATTTGCCAAGTGTGCAAATTTTGGTCACTTGACCTTTGGGATGCTACAATGGTTGTAAGTGTGAAAACAGCCCTAAGTTACTTTTTTCACTGCCATTGTAACTTCAAACAGTCACTAAATAAACTGTTACAAATTGAGGACAATCTGTAAGACTAACAACTAATTTAACAACTAACTTCTACAATATTGTCAAACTACTTAGTAAAGCTGCATTACTATGATGCTACTTCTCATCTGTCCTATTACCTATCATCTTCATCTTCTTATGTCTTTAACCTTGTTGCTTGTATCTTATAATTTATATTGCCTTTTTTTAGTACCCTAGTATGATTTATATTGTTTGCTTAGCTAGTATTCTATGATTATCACTAAGTATTGCATCATGATTTATGATGAATGTATTTTCATGTTGTTTATGATCATGATTATCACTATTACTTGTATGTATGCTGAGGAGAGAGATTCCTTATGTGTCCAGCCACACTTGGCCAATAAAAAATTCTATTCTAATCTATTTGGACATTTAAAACAACACAGAACATAGAATAACAGAGTTGGGAAGTTATCTAGCTCAACCCTCTACTTTCACTTGCTCTAGAACAGAGAAACCCAGTTGCTAACTGCACACAATGTGCTACATACCCTGGATGGTGATCATCAATTAAAGTGCTGGTTTTAACTAATAAAAACTTTACGGCTGCAGGATCACTGCTCCGACTGGAATCAGCCCAACCTACTAGATCATTTAGGAAGAGAGAGAGAGTCTTACACTTCCATGAGGTGAGACATCACTGATGTTTGGAAGAATCTCCTGAAACCAAACTGAACTTCTTGACAGTTTTTGGGACCATATTTAAAAACTGTGCTGTTGGGGAATCCTTCCTACTAAGTTCAAAGTGTCCCTTGTCTTTTATTTTTGCTTGCATCTTTACTTTCACTTTGATTTTATTTAGGAGCCCTGTATGCATGGCTTTCTTGCTTTGATGACTTTGATTTAACTCTTTGGTTATTTTAGCCTTTCATAGTATTCTGTTCTGTTCTATACTGTACTGTACTGTTCTGTTCTGTTTAGGCTAACTTATTCTCCAAAGCACCTGAAGGCAGGACAAGAAGCAACAGATGGAAACTAATCAAGGAGGTATCCAACCTAGAACTAAGAAGAAATTTCCCAACAGTTAGGATAATTAATCATTGGAATGACTTGCTTCCAGAAGTTGTGGCTGCTCCATCACTGGAAGTTTTTAAGAAGAGACTGGACAGCCACTTTTCTGGAAAAAAAGCAAAATCACTTTTTCAAATATGGTTTCCTACTTGAGCGGAGGTGGGTGGTTGACTATATTTATTTATTTATTTATTTATTTATTTATTTATTTATTTATGAGACTTATATACCGCTTTAAGTGCAAGCACTCTCTAAGCGGTGTACACCAGTAAGCAATGTGTGTGTGTGTATATATATATATATATATATATATATATATATATATATATATATATATATTTACATTGCCCCCAATAATCTGAGTCCTCATTTTATCTACTTCGGAAGGATGGAAGGCTGAGTCAACCTTGAGCCGGTGAGATTTGAACCGCTGACCTGCTGAACACAGTCAGCTAAAGTGGCCTGCAGTACTTGCACTCTAACTGCTGTGCCACCTCGGCTCTATATGACCTCCAAAGTCCCCTCCAACTCTGTAATTCTGTTATTCTGTTAATGCTGTCATATCATGGAAGATGGTGAGAGTCACTGGATTATATAAATCTAATGAAGGCATATTAATATAAATAATTCAGAATAAATAGATTTACCTCATCTCTGAAATCCTAACCACAAGAAATATCTCTATCTTATCAGAGCTCAGTTTATGATTCATCCCATTATTGGCAATAGGAAGAAGTTCAGGGGAACTCTTTTTTTTTAAGCATCAGAGAGAAATACGGGTTCACTACTTTTCAGCTATGAGGAACCTTTGGATTGACAGATTTACAACACTGGCTGAGTTTCCTCCAATCCTTTTCAAAAGAACTTTTAAATACAAGATTAAAGACTTAAAAATGTTTTGTAATCAACAACAAACAGATTAGAATGTTGATTTTGGAAAGTTGCAAATGGACTAAGAATTGGAAATACGACTTTGGGAATTCATTGTAAGAATCCTTCCCGTGGGAAAAAGCTTTTGATTTGAATTCTCTTTTAAAAAAACATGAGGAGACTTCAAAGTGTAGACAATACAGGAAAACAGAAGGACCTAAAGATGGCAATTAAAAGAGAAGTACACTTAAATTTGATTTACTAATGCAGAATGAAGCAAAATATATTAATATTGGACGCATTGAAGGATATTTTTTAGACTCATAAGATAATTTTCTAATTTTAAACTGTGTTTAAAAGATGTCATTAAGGAGGGATAAATAATTATAACTGGTTCAGTCGCCTTGTACAGGTAGTCCTCAGCTTACAACAGCTTATTTAGTGACCATTCAAAGTTATAACAGCACTGAAAAAAGTGACTTATGACTGTTTTTCACACTTGC